GCGGCAAGCCGCGGCAGAGGGCGCCGCCATTTCCCCACTCTGACCCCGCCTCCACATACAGCGTCATAACCCAGCGACCTGAGTGGCCCCGCCCTGGTGAACGACTTAAGGCTCTGCTCTTCACCCAGCTGTGAGAAACAGCTGAGGGGGGCACCATTTCCCCACTCTGACCCCGCCTCCACATACAGTGTCACAACCCAGCGACCTGGGAGTCCAAGGCTCTGCTCCTCACACTTAACGGGCACGAACAGACCAAAATGGCTCAAGAAGATCTCAAAGCCCCAGAGCCTATAAATCTAAGCGATGAAGAAATAGCAAAACTCTCAGACGCACAGTTTAAAACACTGGTGATCAGGATCCTCACAGAACTGGTTGATTATAGCCACAAATTAGACAAACATATGAAGGTGAAACTAATTGAAATGAATGGAATTACACAGGAAACCAATAGAGATGAAAAGGAAACTGGGACTCAAATCAATGGAGTGAACCAGAAGAAAGAAAATAGTGGCCAAACAGAAAAGAGTGAAGAAGCAAGAATTCAAAAAAATGAGGAGAGTCTTAGGAACCTCCAGGACATCTTTAAATGCTCCAACATCCAAATTATAGGGGTACCAGAAGGGGGAAAGGAACAGCCACCAGTGGAAAACTTATTTGAACAAATAATAAAGGAGAATTTCCCCAATCTGGCAAAGGAAATAGACTTCCAGGAAATCCAGGAAGCTCAGAGAGTCCCAAAGAAGTTGGACCCAAGAAGGAACACACCAAGGCACATCATAATTACATTAGCCAAGATTAAAATGAAGGAGAGAATCCTAGAAGCAGCAAGAGCTAAGGGGACAGTCACCTACAAAGGAGTCCCCATCAGACTGTCAGTGGATTTCTCAAAAGAGACCTTACAGGCAAGAAGGGGATGGAAAGAGGTATTACAAGTCATGAAATCCAAAGACCTACAACCAAGATTGCTCTATCCAGCAAAACTTTCATTTAGAATGGAAGGACAGATAAAGTGCTTCTCAGATAAGATCAAATTCAAGGAGTTCATCATCACCAAGCCCTTATTATATGAAATGTTAAAGGGACTTATCTAAGAAAAAGAAGTTAAAAAAAAACATGAACAGTGAAAGGACAACGAACTCACAGTTATTAACAACCACACCTAAAACAAAAGCAAACTAACAGGACAGCTAGATCAGGAGTGGAAACATAGAAATGAAGATCTCAAAGAGGGTTAGCAACAGGGGAGTGGGAGGAGGAGAAGGGAGAAAAGGTACAGAAAATAAGTAGACTAGACAGTAGATAGAAAATAGATGGGGGGCAAGAATAGTATGGGAAATATAGAATCTAAAGAACTTGAGACACATGGTCATAAACTAAAGGGGGGGTAATGGTGGGGATGGGGGTGGAGGGTGGAGGGGAATGAAGGAGGGGAATAGAACAACTGTAACAGCATAATCAATAAAAAATAAATTAAAAAAAGAAAACAACAGAAAAAATGGCAATTCCACATGGTCAATTTGATATAATTTAGAAACTCAATAAATTATCTTGTGAAACTATTTTAATTCTTTAGTATATATACTATGAGTTTTTTTTTTTTTTTTTCGTATGAAAGTATCTATTAGCTTAGTGGGTTTTTAAAAGCATAGACTATCTGGAATTTCAATTGACTATTTCTTTCAGTTCTTTCCAGTATTTGTTGACAATGACAAATGGACACATATTGGGGTTATTCTAAGGTTTACAATGCTTAAGATACATCATTATCTAGTTCATTATAAAACATTTGTTATGGCTGTGATTTACTCATTTATAATGACTCATTCAAACTTGGAAAACCTCTCTCATGTTGCCAAAAATTGTAGTCTTACAAATTTTGAGTAAGCCCATGACTTAGCTGCATTTGGGTGTCAAATATTATTTAAGAAGAGACTTTAAGTAATTTCCCTCAAATGCTTTTAAAAGAGTATCTAGTGCAGTCACAGAAGCATGTAACCCCGGGCAGCACTGTACTGCCCACAGAGTGAAAGAATGAAGGCGAGGGGGAGATTTCAGTTACAGAATACAAGTTCTCACTTTGTTACTTATATGATTATCTAACCACTATGCTGTACACCTGAAACTAACACAAAATAATATTGGATATAAACAGTAATTAAAAAGTTAAAATAAAAAACCAAAACATATTCTTACAACAAAGTGTTACCATTGCTGGTTTACTTTCCTGTGGCCCCAAGTAGATAATAAAATATGAAGGCACAGATTCTTTCTCTCATCCATTATAATACCCCCACTGCCTAGTTCTGTGCCTTGTACAGAGCAGGCATTCAATAAATGTTTGTATAATAAAACAATGAAGAAACGAGGAAATGAAAGACTGGCTTCATCAACTGCTCTTCTCACCTCCATCTGATAAAAGAGAAGAGTCATCAGGCTATGACTCTGATTTGGTTTGCCTCCAACATTCCAGAGTGAGGTTTGCGCTCTCAGATATATTGTCAGTTCAGCTCTGGCTGGTGTGGCTCAGTTGGCTGGAGTGTCGTTCAGTGCACCAGGAGGTTGAGGGTTCCTAGCTGGGGCATGTAAGGCAACCAATGGATGTTTATCTCCCTCTCATCTCCCTCTGTGTCTCTCTCCCCCACCTTCCTCTCTCCCAAAAAGCAATGAAAAAATGTCCTTGGGTGAGGATAAAAGGAAGAAATATTGTCAATTCAATAAAATATAATTAAATGGGGCCAGGGTGGGGGGAAAAGGCAGAAAATTATACTTGAACAATTAATTTTTTAAAATGTTAAAAAATATATAATTAAATGGAGGGAAATAATTAGTTTTATGAACACTTAAAAAACTATTGCTTTTGAAAATGATGCATGCTATGAAACATAATGTGTTAATCAAGTTAAGCATATAAGCAAGATTGCTGAGAGCAAGGTTGACTTAAAATAAAAACAAACTTTTCAAACATTATCAAGCTCCTTAGTGTCATCTGTTTCCATTCAAATGGCTGATCATATTATTTAAAATGTGTAGTTTATTATGTAAAGTATGCTCATGAGAAATATGTAAAATATACTCATAAGTAAAAACACTTGGCACATACTAAGTGTTCAAAAATATGTTAATTGTATTAGGTTAGTAGAAATAACATCACTTGTTGTTTTAATTTTGCCTTTTTAAAATTTGTTACAAAACTTTGGTATCTTTTTGCATGTTTATTTATCTTGTGGTTTTTTTTTTACACTGAGATGTCTTTCTACGCCACTTGCCCTTCTTAGTAAAAGTGGGTTCCTATATTTTAAATTGATCTGTTAGATCTCAATCGTTCATCCTAAAAATTGATACTATTTCCCCAGTCTAACATTCATTTTTTGGCATTGATTTTATGTGTGAATATGTGTTTGTTTTCACCAAGTCAATGATGAATAATAGCTATATTTAAAAGGTCTTTTTAATACAATATTATAACACATTTAGTTTTGTTTCATTCTGTTATAGTTTAATGTCTTTATATTTGCATCTTTGATCCATTTGATTTGGGGAAAAGGAATTGTGCAGAGGAGTGGCTTCATTATTTTCCAAATGGCTACCTAGGTGTCCCCAAACCTCTCACTGCAAACCTGTTTTTTCCCCACTGTTTCGAAAACCCAACTTCATTGAAGTCACCCTGTCATAAACTTGTGATCATTTCTGAGTTCTTTCCACTGAGCTCTCTATTGTTGTAAACCACAATTATAGTTGGTTAATCCACAATTGCCGTTTTCTTTCCCAGAATTTTCTTTGCTATTCCCCCATGTTTATTTTTCAGATAAACTTTACAGGCATTTTGCAAGTGCCCTGGAACTTGTGATTTTGATTAGGACTTCGTGAGCACTTAACCCAGTGCCTGACACATTTCAACCCTCTATGAGTGAAAATACAATTGTAATTTCAATAATAATTTTGATTACCACATCAAATGAATGACAGGTATGAAAAGGATGAACATCTTTGCAATATTGACACTCCTTATCAAGAGAAAATTTGGACAGTTTCCAATTATTTAAACTTAAAAAAAATCCTACTTTAGTTCAGATGTTCAGCTAACAATGGAGTTAGGTCATGATGAAACTATTGTAAGTTGAAAATATCTTAAGTCTAAACTGTATTTAATATATGTAACCTATTGACCATCATAGCTTAGCCTAGCCTAGCAGAGTCTGCCTTAAATGTGCTCAGAGCACTTACATTAGCCACAGATGGACAAAACCATCTAACACAGAGCCTGTTTTATGATAAAGTGTTGACTATCTCATGTAACTTACCAAAAACACTACCTGAAAAACACTGGCAACACAGCTCACCACAGAGTACTGGTGACTGGGAACTGCCCAGTATCATGACAGTGTGTGGCACCACATGTCACTAACCAGGAAAAGATCAAAATTCAAAATCTAGAAAGTGTAGTTTCTACTTAATGTGTACAATTTTCACACCACCCTAAAAACAAAAACTTTTAAGTTGAACCATCATAAGCTGGAGACCATCTGTAGTTAAGTTAATGTTCTACTCACTATCCTCTCCTGTAACAACAAATCTACACCTTCCTTAAATCTCCTTTCTCAGTGTCTGTACTTTTGGAGAGAAAATCTATAGCACCAGGCTACAACTCCTTTATTTTCCTCCAAAGTTGCCAATCTACCTCCATTTGTATTCTCCCTCCCCTTCTCCATCCCAGTTATGATTTTCATATTGCTTAATCCAACAGTCATCTCCATTTCCCATTGCCTCATCTGACTTGACTTCTCAGAATATTTAACAGCATTTGTTATTTCCTTCTTGATAGTGTCTTCCATTGGCTTCCCCACTTCACTCTTGGACTTTCACTCCTTGTCTAACTGCTTCTTATAAACCTTCTTTGCCTTTAAATGTTTAAGTTGTCAGGAATTTTCTCTGGATCCCTTCTTTTCTTCTTCTCACTCTCCCTTAATGACCTTAAGGGCCGTCTTTAATTATCATCTAAGGTATGCCCGAATACTGTGTTCTCTTTATCATTAGTAGCTTCCAAGACTCTATGCAAAAGTAAAGTCTCCCCTCTAAAATGGCTATGATGGTATGCCAAGTTTTTTCATAGCATATCATTACTAAAAGTGGGCATAAATTTTAAAAAAATCATCGGTCCTTTCTTATCCATGGTTTCAGTTAACTGGGTTAACCATGGTCCAAAAATATTAAGTGGAAAATTCCAGAAATAAGCAATTCATAAGTTTTAAATTATGTGTGATTCTGAGTAGTGTTATGAAATCTTGTGCCATGCTGCTCTGTCCCGTCTAAGACGTGAATCATCCCTTTGTTCAGCGTATCCACGTTCTATATGCTTCCCGCACATTAGTCGCTTTGTAGTGATACAGTTATCAGATCTACTGTTATGGTATCTCAGTGCTCATGTTCAGACAACCCTTATTTTACTTAATGATACCCCCAAAGCCATTTACATAACTGTTATTACAGTACAGTGTTATAATTGTTCAATTTTATCATGATTGCTGTTAAGCTCTTACTATGCCTAATTTATAAATTAAAATATCATAGGTATGTATGTACAGAAAAAAAACACAGCACATATGGGGTTTGGCACTATCTGTGTTTTCAGATATCCACTAGGGAGGTTAGAATATATTTCTTGTGGATAAAGACCAAGAACTTTTATCCTGGACTCATACCTCTTATTTTTCTGTGTTTCAGTTGGAAATTTCTACTTGATTACTTGAAAGTTCCACTTCAAAGTCTCATCGGCATTGTATGTTAAATTTCAAACTGAACCGTAGTACCACTCCCTACCCCACTTTAAATATATACTCCTTTAATTCTCCCCACCTGGGATTATGGCTGCTCCATCCACTCCACTGCTCATGCCAAAATCTGACTATAATCTATAATATCAACATCTTACATTCAAATTATTACCAAATCTGTTTAGTATTTCTTGAACCTGTTCACTTATTCTCATCATCACTATCCCCACCCAAATCCAAGAACCCAGTCACTAGCCTAAACTCCTATGCCAGCTTCGATTTCTGCATATTTTTAAGTATTCTTTTCAACCAAGCTAGTCTCTTACTAAAAGTCAAAGTAATGGTTTAAATAATATTAATTTGATATTACTTCCTTGATTAAAGCATTTTTAGTGGCTTCTCATAAGAAAGTTACTATAGCACTGGCTGGTGTAGCTCAATTGACTGAGCGCAGGCCTGCGAATCAAAGGATTGCGGTTCGATTCCCAGTCAGGGCACATGCCTGGGTTGTAGGCCAGTTCCCAGCAGGGGACACACGAGAGGCAACCATACATTCATATTTCTCTCCCTCTCTCCTTCCCTTCCCCTTTAAAGGTAAATAAATAAAATCTTTAAAAAAAAAGAAAGTTACTATAATCCACAAGGTACAGTGTGACCTGTCCCCAAATTATTTCTTCAGCATTACCTTCTGTCAAGCTTCCTTATGATCACTGTACTTTGTGTGACCACTTTTTCAAAGGTGAAAAATCTTTTATCTTTCTCCTCCTTTCTTGTTTGGCCAATTCCTACTTATTCCTAACTTCACTTTAAGTGTTACATCTTCAGGAAGGTCTTTCTTCACCCTTGAGTACAGGCAAGATTCCAATATTTGCATGCATTTATGGTACCATATGCTTTTCCTCCTGCTACATTATAGTAGTTATTATACAATTCTTTGTGTGTTTATTTTTATAATTTACTAGATTGAATTCTACACGATGCCAAAGACTATATAATTTTTAAAACCTTTTTTATTAATAGTAGAGGAGTCACATGCCATCGTAAGAAATAGTACAGAGATATCCTGTGTACACTTCCCCATTTCCCACAATGGCAACATCTTGGATAATCACAGTACAATGTCACAACCAGGAAACTAACATCAATGTCACGTGCCAACCTGATTCAGGGTTCACCATGTGCTCATCTCTGTGTGTGTATGTATTCGTGTGACCACCACCACAGTCCAGACACTGAACAGGTCCATTGGAAGGATCCCTCATGCTACCCTAGTCTACCAAAGAGAGGACAAAGCTGGTGAGGCACTGTGAATCTTGGTGAGCAAGTGTTTTCTACAAAGCTAATTCCAAGCTTAACTAATGAATTCACCTTCTAATAATATCTAGCATGTCATGGGAATTGGCATGGGTTATAAACACAGCAACTAACAGTATTTTAATGTTAGGAGAAAGATCTTTAACTTATTAACCACAATAAAAATAAAAGTAGATAAAGTGGGAAAAGATTAAAAATATATTAGTTTGCTAAATGATAGCAGCAGGGTTTTCTCCTGTCCTATGATAGGTAACAGTTGAGGAGGAATGAGTTCAATTATGGAAATTAGAAAGCTCTGGCCCTGGCTGGTATGGCTCAGTGGATTGAGCACTGGTCTGCGAACCAAAGAGTCACTGGTTCAACTCCCAGTCAGGGCACATGCCTGGGTTATGGGCCAGGTCTCCAGTAGGAGGCATGGGAGAGGCATCCACGTATTGATGTTTCTCTCCCTCTTTCTTCTTCCCTTCCCCTCTCTCTAAAAATAAATAAATAAAATCTTTTAAAAAAAGAGTTGTCACCAGAAATGACTTTAAAAAAACAAAAGGAAGAAAGATCTGGCTACAAATTCCTTCACTGCAATTTACTAGGCTACGGGACCATGGGCAAGTTATTTCACTTCTGAGTTTCAGTTTCTTCATCTGGAAATGGGGCACATGCCCAATATACAGTGCTTTTACAATGATTAGATGAAATAAATATTAAAAAATAAGAACTACCTTATCACTTGACATGGAGCAGGTTCTCAGATAAGTGAAAAAAATGCTGATATCCATCCTACATTTGCTCTTTCCCCCATTTCTACCTGAGATTGATTTAGAAACCAAGGTAATTTAGGTTACATTTCTGAACATGTATCTGACACTAAACATTGTGAACCCTAATGCCTAACTCTGAATATAGTAGAAGTTTGGTAAATGTGACTTACAGTGGTAAATTTAAAAAGTTGTAAGAAGATATTTAGAAAACCATCTTAAAGGGGTTCAGAACACCTATTCCAACATGTACACATGGGTTCCCACATATTACTAAGCAATTTCCAACACCCACTGGGCATCTTACGATGTAACTCAGTTCTGTCACTGTCTACCCAGAGACAGCATCAGATCCCACAGGTGAAAGGCTCAGTCCCACAAGACTACGCACCACCCTTGCAGATGCCAATCACAAGTCCAGGTTGTTACCTGTATTTCTGACTCATTGGTTGTAAGTCACAGATTTCTACAACCCCTCCCTTGGGTTAAGTTAACTTGCAAGAGTGGTTCACAGAACTCAAGGAAACATTTTACTTACAAAAGTATGGGTTTGTTATTGAAGTCTCTAATTCAGGAACAGCCAGATAGAAGAGACGCATGAGGTAAGGCGTGGGGAAAAAGCTCAGACCTCCCGCGGCCTCTCCAGGAATGCCACCATCCCCAAACGGCCACATATTCACCAAACTAGAAGCTCTCCGAACCTCCTCCCATTTTTATGGAGGATTTGTTACATAGGCATGATAAACTCTTTAGCCATTAGTGAATGTTTCAACCTCCAGCCCCTACCCCTTCCCATGAATCAGCGGGTAGGACTAAAAGCTTCAACCCTCTATTCGTGGGTAGTTGTCTGGACAACTAGACACTATCTTTAGTCACCATCCAAAAGTCACTTGATTAACATATACCTATTTCACCTTTATGGCTCTAAAGCATTTTCAAAAACTGACGGTAGGGGACCAAGTATTGTAATAAAAGATGTTTCCATTGTTCTTGTCCTTAGGAAATTCCAGGGGTTTAGGAAATGAGAGCCAGGAACTGTGGATGAAGATCAAATATATATGAGAAATGTATTTGGTCCCCTGAATGACCAAATATGTATTTCATATAAATCATGGTATTGCCCACCTTTCTGAAGTTCTTCAATGTTACGCCAAACTAAGACTTTTTGAAGCTACTGGTGAAAAGTTTTCTTTTATTTCCTGTCCACTAGCAGAACCAATTAAAATATGAGTTGAGAGCACAGATGTTGGAAATCTAACCCCCTGGATTGTCTTCATTGAAATGCTGGAACAGAAATGTCACTCTAATACTTTTTACCTGGCTCTCATTGAAGACCTGATCAACCCACCAGCAGAAAATTGTCTCCCTTGATTATCCTGTTAAACTACTATGCTTGGAACTTCCATCAAGCCCTGAATTTTCTTTGGCCAGAGAGGGTTTCAAAGCATTCTTCCTTAAGGGGTGGCTCCTTCAGCACCTCCTTATTCTCCCCTCCTCCCAACTGGCTAGGATTTGCTTAAGGCTATAAAACACAGTGTTAAAGGCACACTGGTAGCTGTCACTCAGGCCTTAGGAGTCTAGTCCCATTCCCTAGTTCCATATCTGGTGTCTTCTCGTGATTGCTGTGTCCCCCCTGCTGCACCCCAACCCTGTCTGGGGCTGACTTAGTGGAGCCTTTCCTTATCTGTGCCCTTCTCTAAAGCTGAACAACAGAGGCATTTACAAACTTGACTGGGAATGAACTTGCGAGCCCAATCATTATTTAATCAAGTTGGTGGATGTGGAAGAAAAGAGCAAAACCACTTAAATATGGATGATAATAGTCCCTGACTTCACCTCGACTTGTGAGAAATAATTACTCTTCCCAGCGACACATACAGTAAGTCATAAGATTGCCATTTACTGCTCTTGCTTTCAGCATATCCCTCATCATTATACATGGCATTCCATCTATCAGCCGAAAATAGACTTTACTGACATATAGGTTATAAATTCGTCTTGGAAAAAATAATACTCCTTTGCTGACATGTGTATATAATATATGAGTATATACAACTTAGTTCAGTCTTAATTATAATATGCAGTATCCCATAACTTGTTTTTATTTTATCTACACTTTTTTAAAGTTCAAAAACTCGGATGCATAACTTTCTATTCTATATTATTTTGGTTGAAAATATTTTTAAATTGAGACACTATTTTTGCCCATTTCTTCTATAAATATTGCTAATTTTTTGGAAATATTAATTACTTTTTGAAAAAATACACAGAAAGAAAAAATACTTTATTGTCAAAATTTGA